AGTTCCTACGTATCGATCAAAACTGAACACTGCCTCTGCGAATCTTCTTCTTAGGGATTTTCGGTTCTTCACATTTTTACCGACCTTTTCTTACCAAAAGTCAGGGACGCGGAAATTTGATTCGAACGGGGTAACACAATACCTATTAGCATCCAGTTCGGCTATAGGTTGGTAGAACTCGATAGGATTATAATAAAAACGGATCAATAGAGTAACGCCTACGGCGTTCTTGCAGATAAAACTAAAGAAATATGAAATTTAGCATTCGTCAAAATAAAGAAAACCAATTTTCACAATTTGTTTAGTATATGCTAGAGAAGTCACGATAAATATAATTCCGTCATTAGTTATTCTTTATATTTGTTTCGATTTTACATTACACATTTTATGTTCATATTAACTGCTGGAATGCACCTCTCTCAAGATGCAAGGAACTTTTCTTGGAAATTTCAGAATGCAGCTCCACTAGTTTCTTTTCAAGTTCTTGTTTATTTTCGAGTTCTTTTTTCTTCTGCTTTAAAACACTGCGCTCGTATTTCCAGTGATATCGTCGTTTCTTGGCTTGAAGGTTGAAAGCATACAGTAACTCGTCGCATGGTGTAGTTGTTATTATTTCTTCCAGTAGTGCTGTATTTTCGGCGTTACGCGTCATTTTGTATCTTCTAAAACCACTTGCTGTTAGTCGATTCATGCTAAACTTTTAAATAAATTAGTTGTTGACAACGTCAAAAATTGGAAAATTTATATCTGACATCTATCGATGCCATTCGATTTTTTGTAGGTATATCGCGTCGTCTTCGTTGATTCACTAGAATAATAATAATAATAGTGAATCAACAAAGACGACGGTATATTGATATGAGGCAATGCAAATGTACGAAATTTTGACAGCATAAGAATTGTTTCAAATAATATGCACATTAGAATCGTGACGATTGAAATCGATGTTTTTTAAAAGATTAGAGCAGATTAGAGTATCTGTCTTCTTATAAGACTGCTGTATGTGTATAGGATTTAACCAAAATTTGTGTTTTTTACTTCCCGAGCGTAAGCAAAGGAAGTATTGTAATCGAGTCCGTCGGCCGACTCTCTACTTTTTACGTTTTCTCGATCTTTCATGACCCCTAGAAGACGAAGAAATAGGTCTCCCATTTCCGTCTGTCTGTCCGTCTGTCCGTCCGTCTGTCCGTCCGTCTGTCCGTCCGTCTGTCCGTCCGTCTGTCCGTCCGTCTGTCCGTCTGTTGTCCCGGATTTTTATTAGACAGATAATCTCCGAAAGTACTCGACCGATTGTTGTGAAATTTTGTACATATATTAAGAATATCATGTAGATGGTAAAACGCTAACCAAAATTTGTCTAATCATCCCCACCACAAATGCGATGACGTCACTTCAAAATTGTACATAGTAAATGGGTTTTCAATTGTATAAAATAACATAGTCCCACACATGTAGTTTACAACTCTGAATCGACTTTTCACCCGAAACGTCGAGATTTTTGGAAAAAAAATCAAAATTATAAAACAACATTTTGAAATTTAATTTTTAATCTGCTAACCCGAATGCTTTGAAATGTTGCAGATGTTTTAAGGCTATAAAGAGCATCATAAATCTTTAGTCAAAAAATATTTGCTTATCCCCTCCAAAAACTTGATGACGTCAGCTCAAAAGTTTGTGGAATAAATCATATCTAAAATGTACAAAATATGATGAGTCTGTACTTGTGATCTATCACTCCATTCATATTTTTTGGATTTGCATATACAGGGTGACTCAAAAAAATTAATGAATGCGTAAATATATTTTATTGATTTAATCAGGAACTACAAAACGGAATGCTCTGACATCTTGCACATGTTTTAAGGTTATAAAGAGCATAATAAATGTTTAGTCAAAATATATTTGCTTATCCCCTCCAAAAACTTGATGACGTCAGCTCGAAAGTTTGCCGAATAAATCATATCTAAAATGTACAAAATATGATGAGCCTGTACTTGTCATTTATCACTCCATTCATATTTTTTGGATTTGCTTATACAGAGTGACTCAAAAAAATTAATGAATGCGTAAATATATTTTATTGATTTAATCAGGAACTTCAAAACGGAATGCTCTGACATTTTGCACATATTTTAAGGTTATAAAGAGCATAATAAATATTTAGTCAAAATATGTTTGCTTATCCCCTCCAAAAACTTGATGACGTCAGCTCGAAAATTTGCCGAATAAATCATATCTAAAATGTACAAAATATGATCAGTCTGTACTTGTGATCTATCGCTCCATTCATATTTTTTGGATTTGCATATACAGGGTGATTCAAGAAAATAAATGAAAGCGTAAATTTATTTTACTGATTTACTCAGGAACTACAAAACCGCATGCTTCGAAATCTTGAAGATATTTTAAAATTATCATAAGCATGGTAAATTTTTGATCAAAACGTATTTGGTCGTCCCCCCTAAAAAATTTATGATGTCACCACAAAATTTTGCTGAAAAAATCCTATCTAAAATGTACAAAATATGGTGAGTCTCTTCTTGTGATTTATCATTCCATTCAAATTTTTTCGATTTGCATATACAGGGTGACTCAAAAAAATTAATGAATGCGTAAATTTATTTTATTGATTTAATCAGGAACTACAAAACCGAATGCTTTGAAATCTTGCAGATGTTTTAAGGTTATAAAGAGCATAATAAATTTTTAGTCAAAATATATTTGGTTATCTTCTACAAAAAACTGATGACGTCAGCTCAAAAGTTTGCCGAATAAATCGTATCTAAAATGTACAAAATATGATGAGTCTGTACTTGTGATTTATCATTCCAATCATATTTTTGGATTTGCATATGCAGGGTGACTCAAAAAAATGAATGAAGGCGTGAATTTATTTTATCGATTTAATCAGGAATTAGAAAACCGAATGCTTTGAAATCTTGGGAATATTTTAAAGTTATTATAAGCATGGTAAACTTTTATTCAAAATGTATTTGTTCATCCCTCCTAAAAAAATTTATGACGTCACCCTTAAATTTTGCTGAATAAATCCTATCTAAAATGCAAAAAATATGATGAGTTTGTACTTGTGATTTATCATTCCATTCATATTTTTTAGATTTTATAAGAGGTGGTTCAAAAAAATTAATGAAGTCAATTTATTTTATTGATTAAATTAAAGGCAACACTTATTATTAGTATTACACCCCAACCAACCCAATTTGGTAGACACAAAATTTGTTAATGGAAAAACTCGGTTGAAACATAAGGGTAACACGCTTATTTACATCGACTTTAACATTACAGACCTGCATTTGTTTTATGCGCTCACTTGGTTCCGCGAATGTGAAATAGACATGTTTATAATCAACCAATTGTGAATTTCACCGTCAAGAATTAAAATAAAACCCAATGTTTTATATAATAAGCGGAAGTCGAAGCAATAAAACCGATGGTCGTTTTGTTTACAGTTTCTCTGTTTGACTCTCACGTATGCTGTTACGCCTGTCATCTTAAATTAAGAATGTTTATACATACACGATTTTCAGTTGCCTCTGATACGTATACGTGAGTAAATTGTTTCGTTATTTTATTGATTATTACAAATCAATATTCAAAACGACCCAATTCATTTTCCCGAAAATTTGAGAATATAATGATTTTATTCTTAGTATTACACTACATCTATCCCAACTGATATACGTGTCCCTGCAAAAATGTTGATGACGTCATCGCAATTTTTTTTTTAATTCCCACTACAAAAATGTAATGAGAAAAAAAACACAATAGGCATGCAGTCGTCAAGTTTCCGACAGCGAGGGAAGTACTGTCTAAACTCTTTAGACCAATTTTTTTTTTCTGCAAATGTGTTCGTAAATCTGATAGCCATTGCCAAATTTGCATGAAATAGTCACAGGGAATCGTCCAGCGTCCCAGGCAACATGATGTCGTCTTTTTCACGTGATTAAATGGTCATCAATTACGTCATAGTGACCAAAGATTTCACGTGATATTGACGTACCAATGACGGTCAAATGTCTCGTCCAGATGACGTCATTTTCTAACGAACTATTGACGTGATGTACTGACGTCTTAGAGACGGCATTTATTGTCCATTTTAAAACGTTTTTTATATTTTGATTAAAAAAAAATGCAATAAATAAAACGCTGAAATAAGTTTATATTTTTATATTGTTTACCTTAAATAAAATATTATAATTCGTTGTAATCACCAAGTAAATACCAAAACAAAATATATATTAATTAAAGTTAAAACAAATTAGTGTAAAAAAATTAAATTTACTACAATTCTGTACAACCAACAATGAACTTGAATAAACAAATATATGTCAATTAAACAAATTAAATATAAACCACTCCTAAGAACACAAACAAATCTACATACAGGTAATCACGAGTATAATTAGTATAAAAAAAGGATAATATACAATATATAATCAAAAATTAACGTTGCAATAAAATATGCTACTTAAAGAAAAATCAGTTTTAAAACACAAAGAAATCTATTTAGTTACAAAGAATATTAAAAGAAAACTATAATAAATTATAAATCAGTCTTAAAAACACAAACAAATCTATTTACAAAAAATATTAAAAAAAAAAAACTATAATAAAGGGAAAAGACAATTGAATCGCATTGTTGAAGTTATTTGGTTTGAAAATGCACTGTAAAACTTTCTAATTCACGACGACTTGACTGTCCCCAACACACAAAAAAGTACCGTTAAGAATTAATTCTGTTTTAACAATCATATTAATAACCTAAGTTTTTTAAGTTTGCCTCAATTTATTGCACTGAAAAGAAAAACCCGTTAGAGTGCATGGATTAATGGAAATGCAATCATTTTTTCGTGTATGGGTAATAGCAAGCATTTGGCTATTATTAAATTTAAGGGATTACAGCTTAAAGCAGAAGACAAATTCTGCATTTTAAAAATGCTAAATTTACTTGAATCTAACGGATAATCGTAAAATGGTTGCATTGACAAAAACGTACAGCCTATCAGGAAAATCTCGTTGTCAATACTTTTTACAATGAAGCGAAATGTGCCATGTATAGTAAGTTACCAAAAAGTATCGTAGTATTACAGGCATCTACCTGTATATAATATGCAATATTATGTTATATGTATATATGAATTCCAATTCATTGTATTTTTTTAACTTACAAAGAAATCTGCTTGTTCTAATAGGCAAAGATAATCTTGTAATTCGTCAAAATTTGTTTAGGTGTGGTCTTGGCGGCATAACTTCTATTTTTGTTTTCTTTTTCAGTTGTCAGATTTGATGACTTTTCCATGTTAGAGATTTTTTCACTCGTTTCCTTTAGCATTTCTTTCGTTTCGCACATGTGTTTTGTATTTGTTTCAAATCTAGAATAAAATTATGTTCATTAGCATTAGTTCATAAAAAATTGCACTAACATACCTTTGCAATATTTTATGGCGCCTCATTTTCAAAAACAATCACCGTAAGTTCTTCATAATCAGTGGGAGTATCTTCAGTGATTAATGGTGGTTTTTCCAGCATATCTGAAAAAAAACTGCTTTTCTTATCCACGTACAGTTATCAAAAATAACAGAAACACGTAAAAATTAAAATGATTACTTTATTAAATATTAACTTACCTAGTGTAAATAAGTTCAACCCACGCTGAATGGCAGAAAATTTCACAAAACTGCGTTAAAAATGAAGTGAGTAACGGATACACGAGAAAGTTTCGGTGGTTGAGAACCAACTGGAAATATTGGAATGCTTCACTGTGAAGTGCAATAAAGATAAATACCGAAAAAAGGGAAAGTCCGAATGTACGCCTCAAACATCTGATGTATTGTATAGTAAATACGGAAGTTGAACATTATTTTTTCATTAGATGAAATAAGTTTAATAAAATTAAATATTAAATCACTCCCTAATTTTTTGGTAACCGTTATCACTTTATAAACGTCTTTATAAAATTAAAAATCGACGAAGGAATTCTTCAAAACCTTGTCCCGTTTTAGGGACAATGGACAAAGAATTTTTATGACTTTGTTTGTGTCGTAGGGTCTTTTCACTATTATACGCTCAACCCCGGATGTTCCATTTATAATTTGCCAAGCAGGTACTTACAAAATAACACTTCCAGAATAAACAAGTTTTCAGAAATAATTATTTTATTAGAAATTATTACAATGAAAAAACTTGTCTTTGGTGCATTTATAATAAAGCCGTTGTATTTTTTGCTCTAAATAGTTATAATTAAGCATTATGAAGGCCACTTTTTAAAGAATACGACGACCCACATCTAATTGATCATATAATCTATAAAAAATGACGAAGAAAAGACGGACTTTTGACGTCATTAATTGACGTCAGAAATAAGTCATAAAAATCTCGTCATTATCACGTGATTTTTTGGGCGAATGACGTCGCCGACGAGTTATGACCAAAAATTGACGTGAATCAGACGACAGTCTGCTGCTTGGGGTGTGGCATCCAAGTTTGGACATACAGAGATAACATGGAGAATTGAATTTTACTTTATAATATTTTCCCAGATCACTTTAAAGCTATTACTGGGTGCTGCGTTTGCGGATAAAGGAGCCAGTATTTTTTCAAATCCTTGCTTTGCGCCGATTCACTGCTTACTTTGAAATTACCGCTCGGTCCGATTTGCCGCGAAAAGTTCCGTCTCGATTCAACAATCGCGTTGTTGGATTAAGAATGAAAAATCGAAATATCAAAGTAAATTTAGAAATTATTCCTCCATTCTCACTCAGAAATCATTGAACAACTTAAATTGAATTATTTAATCCAGCGTGATGATTACTGTAGGACAAATTAATGATATACCTAACTGTGATGACAGATTTCTTGATCTCGTTTGTCTTGATCTTAAATGCAATGTGCAACACGATGTGTCGGCACTTCTACCTGAAACTAGATATCACCCTGCTCTCTTGACCACTTTTTGCGTTCCACATCATACTAATTCAAATTCTTCTACACTGTGTGACATTCTTCGCTATAACGTCAAGAAGGCTGATTTTACTGGTTTATATCATGCTATGATTGAGGTGAACTGGATTTTTTAAAATAATATTAACTCTGCCGATGATATTTGTGAGTTGTTTTATGTAAAATTATATGAACTATTCGACAGGTTTGTTCCTAAAACAAAACCTAAAAAGGGTTCTTTCCCTGTTTGGTTCACAGGTGATTTAATTCGGAAAATCAACTCAAAAGACAAACTCTTTAAAAAATACAAGAAGTTTAAAACTCAATCTTGTCTTGAGGAGTATAGAAATATTCGACGTGAAATTAAATTGGACAGTAATGTTGCTTATAAAAACTATATACATAATGTCGAACGCAAATTAATCAACGATCCCAGAAAGTTTTGGATGTGTGTCAATAATAAACGTAAGGATATGAGTACTCCGGGTTCTAAGTCTCTAGACAATGAACGCTTAGAATTACCACAAGAAATAGCGAACGCTTTTTCTAGTCATTTTTCAAAGTCTTATGTTCAATCTTCAGTGGTTATCAGGGTCAGTCTTCAGACTCTCGCATTTTTGCAGGCGTTAGTGTAAGAACAATTTCTGAAAGTGAAATACGAAAAGCTATAAAGAGACTTAGACCGACGTTTTCATTACGATCAACTAATCCAATTCCTAATCAATCACCGAGAGATCCCTAAAGAGCAGCATAGTTTTATGTCTGGCAAATCCATTCAGTCTAATTTGCTTTGTTGATTATCACAATGGAATAGACAGATAGAACGCGATCTTCGATCGGGTTCCAAAACGACGTTTGCTACATAAATTGAGACATGTCGTGGTATCAGGTCTTAACCGATCTGTTGAAGTGTTAAGTAAATGTCTCAGGGTTCTGTTCTGGGTCCACTTCTTTTTATTGTGTACACTGCTGATCTGGGAAACATAAAAACGTCGGCATTCGCGATGTACGCGGACGACATAAAATTGTACAATAAAAGTTCTAATAGCCTGTCGCTGCAGGAAGATGTTCCGTAATCGGTCCGATGACTGGTTGCTCCTGATTAATAACGATAAATGCAATGTTCTCCATATTGGAAATAATAATTCTAAGCACAGGTATAATCTTTAGTCTTTTAGTTCTCTCCAAATTATATAAAACCTGCATGAGATCTGTCTTGGAGTTCGGCAACTCCGTCTGGGCACCTGTTTTGCAACGCGATATTAATCAGTTGGAGTCTGTACAGCGCAGAGCGACCAGAATCACTACCATGAGCGGCTCTTATAAATGCGACTAACAACTCTATCTGAACGGCGCATTAGGGGCGTCCTGATCACAACTTATCAAGCTGTAAACAATCCATCTTCACCCATTTGTCATCTGTTTGTTTTAAACTCAGATCAAATAACCCGCGGACATTCTTTCAGATGAATTAAGGAAAAGTGCATTTCCACAACTCGGCGAACATTTCTCACCAACAGAGTTGTTAATCATTGGAACAAGTCAATCCCTTTTTGTCCTCAAACAGCGGCACGACGAATATAATGCTTAGGCTACATTATTAGGCATTTTGTAAATCAACGTTCACTACTCGCGAGCGTTAGCATAACAGACTTCGGCCTCTGTCCGACCGCAGAATTTAATAATAATTTGTACTTACTTATATAGAGAACCAATTTGTCGAAGAGTATTATAGTTTAGACAACACCATAGTATGAATTAAATTTTTAAACAATCGGAGTTTCTAAACTTTCTTATGATAAAGCAGATAACTTTAAATTAATGAATCCTTTGACATTTGGTCTACATGTTGTGGGTAAGAAAATTTGTCATCGAAATATACACCCAAATCTTTCATATTGTTATGAGATGGTAACATTTTTGACAAAATCACATTCTTATCCTTTGAAAATTAAAGTTGTTCGCCGCATACCATTTTATGTCGTCCGCGTACATTGGGAATGGCGGCGTTTTTATGTTTGCCAGATCAGCAGTACATACAATAAAAAAAAGTGGACCCAGGGCAGAACCCTGAGGAACTCCACTGAACACTTCAACACATCGGTTTTTTTTTGTTATTTTGTAAGAATATGCAGTCTTCCATACTTAGAATTCTACGATAAATGTTTAAGTCATTCTAAATTTTGACTTAAATCATCGATATACAAGGAATGGACCCAAATTCGTTCCCCGCGAAACCTCGGATGTGGCATCATATTATAAAGACTTGTAACCATTATACTGAACAAAATGGGTTCTGTTACACAAATAATCTTCACTTTCCATAAAGTAGGAAATTTGCTTGTTTGCAATGCCAAGCTGTCTTTTTATTTTTCGATAATTTAGTAGTATTCAAAACTTCGTCCCTGAAAATATTTGGAGCAGTGGCAATTTATAAATAATAGGTATGCTATAATGTGATGATGTGTGATTTGTAAATACACCAGAAAAATATTGTGCAAACGCATCTAAGATAGCCTGGGTATCTTGCAAGAACAGATCACTGAAATGCATCAAACCTGGTATTCTGGAACTTTTCCTTTCAGATTTAATATGACAACAAAAATTATACAGGGTGTCTCAGAAATAAGTACATTAATTTTAATCAGTTATAGAGCTCATTGAACTCAACAACTTTTTTTAGTAAAGTTTTGTCAAGAACTTTTTAATTATCAAGTTAAAAATTGTTGAAATTTTATCCCAATTAAGGTTACCCGCCCATGGATCCTCAGTCACCCATAGACACTAATAATTATTATAATTAATAATTTACGGTCAAAAAGAGTTACTAGGATACGTATTTTCCTAATCTTGTCAATGTGACAAACATTTAGAGAGAAATTGAAAATCCTGCTCCCTAATGGCGTACGGAATTTCATCGGCCCAAATGTGGGTGTTGAACACCTTCCCTCGTGTAACCGACCTCATCAGTTGATGGTATAAGAGATACAAAATTTGCTTGTTCGTTTATTTTTCTATTAACCCACTCACAAAAGTTTTGCCTACGTGGTAAGTCTGATAGTTTCAATAACTGAACTTTCTGGTCCTGAAAGGGGTACATTTGTTCTCTGAGTATCCTCCAAATACTACTCTCCGATACATCACACTAGACAGTGATACGTGCTAGTGCCCGGTCGAGCTTCGACACTCTTCAAAACAGCTTCTTCAATATTAGCAATTCTATTACTACATAACTTACCCCGATCCTAAGGTGCAGGTTTAAAAGATCCGTACTCTCGAAAATGCTGCAACGTTCTTAAAACTGCGCACATTTGGCAGACGACGATTTGGGAGGTTTTCTGAAAAAATTCGTTGGGCGCGAGTGCCGTTTCCCCGAGCTTCACCGTACGTTAAAACGATATCGGTGCATTCCACATTTGAAAACAAAGCCATTTCAACACATTTCGTTTATAAATTAGAAATCTGTGCCAAACAAACTTTAAAGAGACAACGTTTAGTAAAAACATTGACATAAAAATGATTGTCAGTGTCAAAACGATTGCTAGGGTACCTTCTTCATTGTTGTAGTGTTGTTATTATTTAAGTTATTATTTAAGGTGAACATAGACGGCTCGTGAATATATGGGTGGGAAAATTCGAAATTCGACTTGAGTTTTCGAAAAAATGCTAGATAAAAAAGTTGTTCCGTTTCACGAGTTCTGTTACTGGTTAAAATTAATGTACTTATTTCTGAGACACCCTGTATAGACTTAACCCTTTTGGCAGCTGCGTATCTTTAGTATATTTATCTAATCTTAAATTTCTAAGATAATGTTTACGTGCTCACTTTTTACGCCTTAAAATCCTTATACTTAATGTTACTTATATTAAACTTTTAAAATTAAACCAAGGTGAATAACGAGTCGTGCTACGTTTATTACCAGCAGGAATATATTTCAAGAATGCCTTGTTTAATTGATTATATATACACTGATAGGTATTATCTACATCAGTAACTGTATACAACAATTCCCAGTTTAATTCTGATAAGTAAATGATTTTACGGCAGCGGAAAGTTATCTTTTCTAAAATTAAAATAATTCTCTTGACTTGAATAGAGAAATCTGTTATATTTAAAATTTTATAACTATAAGTTAATAATTGAGGTATTACATTTTGAAAATGTAGTGAAGATCTCACATCAGAAAAATGTAAGGACTGGCCTTACGAGAAAAGAAAAATGAACTATGTAGCACACAATGAAGACACACTTACTAATGAGCAGAACGTCTTTTTGACAAAAAACAATGGAATTGGATTGACAAACTTTTACTATGTAGAATCTTTAGTGATTTGGGATTTTGTTATAAAATTTAAGACAAAAATACTCGTGGCACTTGTAAATTTTGATAATTTTAACATGTTATAACAAATGTCTGTAAGATGGGTGTTACAATTATGACCAACGTTTAATTTAATACGAGATGTGGGATGGTTTTTTCCCGTATGTTCTAGCCAGTTGTCATATCACTGTATTTAAAATTTCTTCTTGTACTGTTACGAGTTTGTTGAAGCTAAAATTTAAATTCTGTAGTTCTGTTCAGAACCCCCGTTTCTATACCTTCAGTTCCTATGTTGCCTAAAGTCAACTTTTTAAAACGGATAAAGACGGTACAAAAATGGCTTTGATTGTTTAACTTTACAGTTTCATTCATACGTTTTAATAATTCATCTTAATCTTCATGCATTCTTAATGCTGTTTAAAAAAATATTACTTAATAGCCATTATTCAATATAAATTATATCTTTGTTTCATTTTTTGAAGTAAATTGTTAACAAAGTGACCGCCAAAAAAAACATCAAAAATTATTCATTTAACCAGTGGTTGTTATTAAAGTATCATTGACACAGGATGTACAAATTAGCTAAAAAAAAGAGACAAATAAAAAATATAAAATCACTAGTTAAAATATATTGTTAAAGTGGTTTTGCGAAATATTTCAGGGTGGCCGTTTTTTTTGCCGGTCAGAGTATATTCAAATAAACAAGAAAGAAATAACTGTTGTCACAAAAATGTGGTCAGCGGTCAACAAAAACAACAACCAAACGTAAAAACTGGCGGTTTTTATTTGAGTACGACCGAGGTATAACCATATATTTTTCTACCTGTTGATTACTCACAGAAAAGAAACAAACAATGCACTTTTTGGTATAAAATGAATCCTAAAACTCGATTTTTTTTAAATAATCTTTAGACCCAAAAACGTGCTTCATTACTTACATAGGTAAATATATATGTTTATTTAGAAGATGACTGTTATTTAAAATAATTTTAGGCACCAAATGGTTATCTAGAAGAATTACTTAGAACAGAAAAATTAGTTTACTCAATTGGGATGGAAAATGTTTTAATCTTTGTTATCTCCTTTTTGTTTTTGAGAAAGTACTCACAGTGCGAGAGTTGCATTTGTGTTCCATTTTATAGCTGTGAAGATGATTATTCTGAGGAAAGATACGAAACAGGGTGAGTAATATTTTTTGTAAAAATGTATGGTATTACTTTCATTTCAAAAATTCCACTTTCTTCGAGCTTACCTACTGTGTTCTTTAATAACGATTCCATTTACTTTTCGACTTTAGGGATAATTTGCAGCAATGTAAGAACGACTTAAATGTATGTTGTTTCAATGTTACTGCAAACAATACAGAAGAGCTTACAACGAGACTGCAAGGTACGACGTTTCAAAAATATATTTTTAAGACATTGCATAATAACGACAACATTTTAGCTAAGAGTCAAAACCAACTATTCCAATGTGAGTTGCCATTACAATGCATCTCTTTAAAAAACTGCGAATCATTGACAAGGATGATGAAAACTTACGAGGATCTTCACTCCACTCTGCAGTACCTAAACACTATAGTTTGTGGTCAGAATAAAGAAAAGGAACCCAAAGTCTGCTGCCCAGACCTTATTTCCAATCATAAAAGTATCAAAAGTAAGAACACAATTTGTGTGTTTTGTCAAACGTTTAGGTGAAGATATATTCCAGAACAATTAGGAACAGCTCCATGTGATCCAGCTTTTCACTGTGTCAGTCTTTTAAAGTGTGGTCCCCTGATGCATTTGGTAAATTCGGAAAAACCGATGACTACAGGATTTTTAAGATTTCTCAAGACTCAACAATGTGGACTGGGAAAAATATATCCAAAAGTGTGTTGTAAACTGTCAACAGAGGTAAAGCCAAAACTAACTACAGCCATTTCGACAACAGAAGAACCTGTGACGTCGACAATATCTTTAAAAGAGAAGTCTGTTATCATGAATAAGATGTTTAGTGATTTTTTTGACTTGATGATTTAATTGTTGTATCGTAAAAATGAAAATATTAGTTTTCTTAAAGTCTTATAAATACAAGAAAAATACAAGAAAATTTCGAATCGAAATTAAATGTGAGAATTTTAAATAATTTTACCTTAATGAATGAGTTTGAGTGTTATTAAAAAGTGTAAAAATATTTTAGCAAACAAAAACATTACAGTTAAGAAATGGTTAATTTTACTGCGTGTAGACTTATTTTTTGAACAAATATTTTTCTTTTGTAACTAAAAATCTAATTTTGATTCTGACACATCAAGTCACTCTTTCACGATGTTACTATAATTTCGTTTATTATTAAATTTGTTGATACCCTCGTTGTTTTAAATGCTATCTCAAATAATTAAATCACCTAATTTAGAATCATTTTGCTCTGTATGACTGTCACCAGTCGTGCATTGCTAAAGAAATGTGTGAAGTGATAAACGAATCTGTTGCTAGTGAAATTGACAAAACGCTATCAAATGGCAGTTTGCCATAAGACTCGGAAGCAGTGAGTTAAGCAAAAACTATGCTTATAGGGAAATTAGAATTATCTATATAAATCTTCTTCATGGAGTAATTACTCGTTAGCCTATTTTGTGGAAAAATAAAAAATATACAAGAATGACAATAATGGTAACATCAACCATTGATTAGTCGCATCCCATTGCTTGTAGCGAACATGTCGAAGGCCGGCGAATAAGAGATGGCGCACCAACATTTAGCAGTCAAACGCCTTCGAATAGCTTGGGCCCTGTAGGTAAGCAGACAAAAATGTTGTGCCTCGGTGGGATTCGAACACAACGCCCCTCGCTCTCCGGGCAAGAATGTAGGTAAGCGGAGAAAAATGTTGTGCCTCAGTGGGATTCGAACCCCACGCCTCAACCTTGCCGATATTTCTAATCAACTAGGTTTTATTTCGTTAAGAAATTTCAGGTAAATAAATGGGAATATCATAATGAATAAATAATATCAATAAATTATTACTTGTTTTAAATATTTGTTAAAGCTATTGAAAACGTAAAAACAAATACAGAAAATAGATATTTTGCATATTTTCATTTTTGTGTTCCTGCTTATCTTTTTGTCTTTAAATATTCTTGTATTTGTGTACAATGCATGATTTACAGCTTGAGTTCTTTTCTTTAGATCTACATTTTCATTCGTCCTGTTAATTGATATTTCTGAGTATTTTAAAGTTTCTACTTCTATAGAACTTATCAAACAATAGATGTACTTCCATGTTATATTCCATTTCTTTTCTATTATTTGTCTTGGTATGTGTTATTTAAATAAAAAAAATATTCGAGGTGTCCCTTTTAAACTGACTCACTCTGGACATACAGAATTTGACAACAATCGGTCCGGTAGTTTAGAAGATTATCTGTCTAATAAAAATGGACACAGAGGTGGACCGACGACAGACGGCATTCGGCAGACGGTAGACATTCGGGAAGTAAAAAGTGTAAATTAGGGCTCTATAAATGCCACTTTTCAGTTTAAACCATCCATTCACGTTATAGATTTATCTTATCAGAATATGTTTTGTTCACTTAAGATATCTATAATGTAGAGATAGAGTGAATAAAATATCTCGTTGTTATTTACCTGAGTTTCACCGAATTTGTTACACAAAAGTGCATACATTTTTCGACTATGGCAAACGATGATGTACACGTAAGTTTTAAATATTATATACTTATATAAGTATTAGCTACAGCAATTTTGTGATTATTAATATTTTGGCTAAGTGCATAGTTACAACATTTTGCGATACTTTTTCACTATCTAAATCTGATAACATCATACCTGTATCATTACAGTTTCGTAGTTCAATTTAGGCATTGCAAAAGAAATAAATGACCGTAGAACAAAAGCCTCCTTACTGTGCATTAAGATTGACAATGTATAAATTTATTTGCCCCTAAAACAAAATTTTGGATCATTAGGTAATTTTTAATTAATTTAATTTTTAATATTCTCATTATCTTTTGTAAAATTTCTTAATAAGCTTTATTCGTCCTTTGTTTTTGTGGCAGTTTATGCTACTATTCAATAGTGAAATTACTTTTGCTATGATATTATTTGTTGTCTCTCTAAATTTGATGTAAGAAAACTAAAAAGTATATATTATAAGTTTTAGTGGTAAAACTAACTCGACAAAAGTTCGGGTCTAATATTATCTGTTTAACAAATTTTACTTCTCGAGCATAAGGTAAGGAAGTATTGTAATCAAATCCATCAGGCGACTGGCTAGTTCCATATTTTCTAGATGTGTCATAACTGTGTCGAAACTACTCTACCAGTTGCTGTCAAATTTAACATGAGTGTTATGAATGCAGCGTAGATCGCAAAACGATAACCAAATCTTATCTAATCATTCCTGCCAACAAGGTGATGATGTCACTGCAAAATTGTACATAGTGAATTGTATGAAATAACATAGTCCCACATGTGTAGTTTATAAATCAGTCTTGAGTTTTACCCAAGACATCCAAATTTTTGGAAAAAAAAAATCAAAATTGAGTAACTAATTTTGCTATTTAAGTTTGGATCTGCAAACCCCAAGGCTTTGAAATCTTGCAAACGTTTAAAAGTTATCGAAAGCATGGTAAATTTTTAATCAAAATACATTTGTTTTTATCTCCCTAAAATTGATGATAACTTTTCAAAATTTTGCCAAATAAATAAAATTTACCACACCTACAACAACTTTGAAACGTCTACAAGATTTCAGAGTATTCACTTTTGCAATTCCTGATTTATTTTTGAGTCACCTTGTATAAGCAAATCTAAAAAATTTTGAGATGATGTGATCAATTGTTTGGGGTTGAGAAACAGACACATTTTAATTAAAAAGTTACCATGCTTATGTTAAATTCAAAACGTCTGCAAGTTTTCAGACGGCTTTGGAGTTTCTGATTTATTAGTCAATAAGACAATTTGCCTCAGTCATTAATTTTGAGACACGCTGTATAAGCAAATCTAAAAAATATTACTGCAGTGTTAAATCACAGTTACAGACTCGTCTTATTTTGCAATTTAACGTGGGATATTCGGCAAAATTCTGAGCTGACGTCATCAATTTTTGGATTGATAAACAAACATTTCAAAGCATTCGGCTTCGCAGATTCAAAATTAAGGATTAAGTGCTTTTTTAGTTCCGGAGCGTAAGCAAAGGAAGTATTGTAATCGAGTCCGTCGACCGACTCTCTACTTTTACGTTTCCGCGGCCTTTCGTGACCCCTAGAGGACGAAGAAATAGGTTTCCCGTTTCCGTCTGTCTGCCGTCTCGGATTTTTATTAGACAGATAATCTCCGAAAGTACTGGACCGATTGTTGCGAAATTTTGTACCTAGTAAATGGGTTTTAAATTGTATAAAATAACATAGTCCTACACATGTAGTTTACGACTCCGAATTGAGTTTTTACCCGAAACGTCCAGATTTTTGGAAAAAAAATCCAAATTATGAAACAATATTTTGCAATTTAACTTTAAATCTGCAAAACCGAATGCTTTGAAATCTTGCAGATGGTTTACAGTTATGACAAGAACGATAAATTTTTAATCAAAATATATTTACTTCCAAAAAAATGATGACGTCAGCTCGAAAGCCGAATAAATCCTATCTTAAATGTTCAAAATATGATGAGTCTGTACTTGTGATTTATCATTCCATTCAAATTTTTTGGATTTGCATATACAGGGTGACTCAAAAAATTAATAAATGCGTGAATTTATTTTATTGATTTAATCAGGAACTACAAAACCGAATGCTTTGAAATCTTGGAGATGTTTTAAAGTTGTCATAAGCATGATAAATTTATAGTCAAAATTCATTTGCTCATCCCCCCTAAAAAATTGATGACGTCACCTCAAAATTTTGTTGAATAAGTCATACCTTAAATGTGCAAAATATAATGAGTCTGTAGTTGTGATTTATCATTCCATTCATAATTTTTGGATTTGCATATACAGAGTTTAATTAGGAACTACAAAACCGAATGCTTTGAAGTCTTGGAGACGTTTTAAATTTATCATAAGCATGATAAAATTTTGATCGAAATGTATTTGCTCATCCCCCCTAAAAATTTGATGACGCTACCGCAAAATTTTGCTGAAAAAATGCTTAAATGTGTAAAGAATGATGAGTCTATACTTGTGATTCATCACTGCATTAATATTTTTTAGATTTGCTTATACAGGGTGTCTGAAAAAAATTAATGGCTGAGTCAATTAATTTTATGGATTAAATAAAGAATTACAAAAATGTAATACAAAAAAAAACATAATAGGCTTGCAGTCGTCACGTTCCCGACAGCGAGGGAAGTACTGTCCAAACTCTTTAGACCAATTTTTTTGTTTGCTTTTATTTTAAATATTTGTATATTTATAAGTAATTCTAGGTATATATAAACCTATGTAAAGGTATGTTAACCTTTAAGAAACATTAGATTACACTAAATTGCAAAGTGTTGTTTTATAATTATGATTTTGTTTCAAAAATTCTGGACGTTTCGGTTAAAAGTTTAACACGGAATCATAAGCTACATGTATAGGACTATGTTATTTTAGACAATTTGAAACCCATTTGCTCTATATAATTTTGAAGTGACGTCATCACATTATTGGTGGGGATGATTAGACAAAGTTTGGTTATCGTTTTATTATTTACATGTAATACACATAAAAAATTTGATCGGTCTAGTAGTTTCGGAGATTGTATGTCTAATAAAATCAGGACAGACGGCAGACAGACACACAGACGAACAGAAGGACAGACAGACAGACGGAAACGGAAGACCTATTTCTTGGTATTCTAGGATTCAAAATTAAATTGCAAATTGTTGTTTTATAATTTTGTTATTTTTGCAAAAATCTGGACGTTTCGGGTAAAAGGTCAACACGGAGTTGTGCAATTTTGAAGTGACGTGATCACATTATTGGTGGGGATGCTTAGCGTTTTACCATCTACATGATATTCCTAATATAAATACAAAATTTGACAGCAATCGGCCCAGTACTTTCGGAGATTATCTGTCTAATAAAAATCCAGGACGGCAGACAGACGGACAGACAAACATAAACGAGAGACCTAATTCTTTCTACTCAAGAGGTCATGAAAGGTTGAGAAAACGTAAAAGTAGAGAGTCGGTCGACGGACTCGATTACAATACTTCCTTCGCTTACGTTCGAGAAGTAAAAATAAAGATAATATATATTTAGCAAAATACAGAAATTGGACACTTATTTTGGGACAAAGGGAGTAAATGAATAACGAATGCCCTTGATCTATGGTAAAATTATAAGCTTTGTGTTCACCAAATTTCAGAAAGACTAACTAGTAAGTATATTTCCCTAAACTACAAAACATAATTACTTAAAATTTAGAGTTTTCACATGCTGGCATCACCACGATAACTACAAAAAACTTAATCAATAATAATTTCACTACAACATATATCATTTATTTTCAGATATTTATCAAACGAGAGGGCACAGGAGACAAGGGGCGAGATTACGAAAACCTTTTCGTCTCTAATGTTTCTTTACGTCTAGCAAAGGACAACAATCAAGAATTTCTAATATCGTCCAACAATGGCAAGTTCGGCTCTTTTGACGACGTTGTAATGGAAAGTATAAATCAAGTAAACTTTGCTCTACAACTGAAACATTCCGAAACAGCGAAACATTTAAATTTAGAAAGCCTAGGGGCTAAAACAGGTGATTTCAGTATTAAAAGTTACTTTGATTCGTTTAAAAAGCATGAACAATCTTTATCAAATTTTAATTTAATTTTATGTACTAATCGTAAATTTTTTGTTGAAGAGAATATCTCCGTCGAACTCGATGATGGTGAAAAGTTTTCCGTTAAAATAACTGAGTGTCAAGCTGATCCTTTAATTAACACAAGCAAAACTAGTGATAAATGTTATACATTTGAAGTAATAAAAAAACAAAATTATTATTCAAAGAAACTTGATGCGTATGAAGAGTTCTTTAAAAAATTTTATTTATATACAGATCAGTGTAACGTCGATCAATTAAAAGATGAAGTCTACAGACAAATGCGTGAGTTATTTTCATGTGAAGATAAAATCTGCAACAGGTATCTGCAGTACGTGTCGGATTGGAGTAAACGCAGTGGAAAAAAGGAAAAACTCACTACAAAGACGGTCCAACGTATTATCGCTCTCTACTTAGTGGATCCTTTTATTTGCTCAATGAATTTTGATTCGGAGTGTTCAAATGGAAAATTATTGCGGGAGGCAATTTTTTACTTTCGGGTAACCGTTTTTAAAGGAAATTTAGAGAGTGTTGTGAAAATATGGACTAATTTGAAAAATAAGCAGATCGAGAACGAAAATAATATAATAACCAATAAAATGTATCAAATAAGTTCCAAGTATGTCGGTACAACTGACAAATTAAATGACAAAGAAAAAACACTTTTATTGTGGTTGTTGGATGAGTGCCCACTTATTGTTAGAATGGACGATTTAGTTTGTAAAGCCATTAAGTTTTGTACCAGCGGAAAATTTGTTCTAATTGGGACAAACGACAACAACTTTAACAGGTCTAATACTTTGAAAGATGTGGAAATTTTTCAGAATCTCTCTAATCTAAAGGACAAGAACGGTGCGGAACATGAAACATGGAAAAGTATAATTGCAGATTTTAAATGTGGATTACCTGGAAAAGAATATAGTATAGAAGAATTAATTCAAGAACACAGCAAGCTACAAACAAACATTAACCTCAACACAATTATAACCACAGATGATTTACTCAAAATGACAGACAATGGAAACATATACAAGATTCAATTTAGAAACGAAGAACTTCCCTCTCCTTACATACAGAGATCCGTAGCTACTCATCGCATTAATAGAAAATATTTAGACACGTTAGATGACAGTACTTTAATTGTGATCAGCAATGTAACTGAACAAGACCAGATTTTGTTTAAACATTATTCTCTAGTTATTGTCGACGAATATTTGAACACGAATGTTAAAAATGTACTTTCTTCTAAAAAAAAACAGATCTACATCAGTGAAAGTTTGTGCTCACAAGCAACATTCAAAAAAATATGTGATCGAAATGATGGAGTGAAAAAATGTCAACATTTCAAACTTTCGAACCGTATGTTGGAATGGGTCAAAAGTAATAACGAGTTCGTTGATCTGGAAAAATACTATGTTAAACAAGAGTTAAAATTTGTTGAAGAGAAAGAACTGTTTTCATTAAATGCCGAAAATAATATTCACTTGATATCAGATCATGCTGGAACAGGAAAATCATCGTTATTGAAAAATTTCAATAATAATAATAACTCTTCACAAAAATTAAGTATGTTTTTAACGCCGAAAGAAATGCTTAAAATCTGTCAGCATCTCAAACACAAGGAAATGGATGAAGTTGAAAATTTTATTATAGATTTAAAACATTCAAACGATAGTGCGTTTGTTAAAGAAATATTAAAAAGTATGTTACACTGTGGCAATATTGTATATATTTGGGACGCCCTTGATGAAATTGAGGAAAATTACTTAGAAGATATTGTTAAGTGTATTAAGTTTCTGTGTAAAAACGGTTCCGTTCATTGGTTAGCATCCAGGATTAGATTGCAAAAATATCTAGAGAATAAATTCGGTGTGTTAGCAAAATCTATCAAACAATTTACTGTTGAGGAACAAGATGATTATATTTGTAAACGATTAAACCCAGTTTTAAGTAAGAAAGAATTAGATGAGGTGGTTAATAAAATAAGGAGTGATGTTACATTCTACGATTCCACAAACATCTTGAGTATTCCGTTGCAACTTTTTATGCTAACAGAACTTTTTCGGGAAGATTTTAAAAAATATGCGTCAGAAATGAAAGAGTTATCTTTTTTACCAAATTTATATAAATATTTTGTTGAACAAAGATTTAATCTGTTTTGCACTAACCAAGATATACCCACAACTTGTCGTCTCAAAGCAGATTTTTTACAAATCTGTATTGATACATATGAGAAAGTCGCTCTAAATTTGTTATTAAAAGATGATGATTTTTTGCTCGATTTAAAAATAGATGAGTCAAAAGATTGCGTTTTCGACTGGCTTGGATTTTTCTCAGAAACCGAAGACCACGAAGATTCGGTAAGAAAACGATTTATACACATTTCTTTATTTGAATATTTTGCAGCACATTATTTTGCAAAGTTTGTCAAAAAAAATTCGTCGACAGTTATTAATGCTTTATCTAAATATATTTTTAAAAAACGTTATACAAATATTAGACGTTTTCTCGATTTGCTTTTAGCAGAAAACTCAACAGCTCATATTGCTGTTTTATACAATAATTTGGAAGTTTTAAAAAAATCCTCAAAGGACCAGATCCTAAAAGAAAAAGATTATGCAGGAAGAAATGTGTTACAGGTGGCTTGTTCTTGGGGGGAACGTTATCCAGTTTTGGAGACTAAAACAACGAGTCCTTTGAAACGTTTATTGACTTTTAAGCCTATAAAAGAGTGTTATATGTTAAATGACGAAATTACGTCCTCGATTAAAGAAGAGAGTGCAGAGCACATAGAACTGCTGGAATACTTATTAACATTTTATGATGTTAAAGAAGCCGAAGATTCTTTGGAATACGCTAAAAAATGTCACTGTTTGCACACAGTTGCTCTGATAGATAAAGAAAAGAAAATCGGTTATATAAATAATCAAAGTAGTGATGTTCAATGCAGTCTGTTGTATTATGCCGTAAGAGTTGGTTACCCTTGGATGTTTGATTTGTTCGAAGATGTAAAATATATAGAAACAAGGACTGGCAGTTTATTGAATCTGGCAGTGGAAAATAATCAATATGATTGCTTGCTGAAATTACTATCTGTAACAAAATACAAGGCAGTAATAAATTATGGTAGAAATGGTGTGACGCCACTTTTTTTGGCAACGAGTTATGGGAATATTAATATGACAACAGTTTTATTGGACCACGTCGCAGTAACAGGAAAAGCGAGAGAGACGTATCGTGAGATAACGTCCATAGCCAATGAATGTAAATGGAATTCACTACACCTAGCGTGTTTTTATGGACATGATCAAGTAGTTAAGCAATTACTGAAAAACAAAAATATTAAAATTGATCTAACCGATAAAGAAGGATTTACTCCACTACACATCGCCTGTGAAAAAGGGTACCACAAAATTGTAAAACTCTTAATCGCTGCACCGATAGATGTCAATTCTCATATTAAGGACAAGTCTAACGCAATCGAAGCTCGTACTTCTAAAAATTCCACAGCCCTTTATTTAGCATCCATGAAAGGTCACGCTGAAATTGTAAAGTTATTGATTAAGAAAGAGGTAGATTTAAACGCCGTCTGTGAGAGAGGTTTCACAGCTCTTCACATTGCTTCTCAAAATGGCCGAGATAAGGTTGTCAAATTGTTAATTGAAGCAAATGTTAATGTAAACGCTACTAATGAACAAGGATGGACAGCTTTACATGCAGCAGCTAAAAATGGCCACAGTAAAATTGTAGAGTTGTTAATTAATTCAGGTTGTAACGTTAATGCCACCACACAGAATAACATGACCCCTCTTCAGTTAGCTTCTAGTAAAAACCATTCCAAAGTCGGCAATTTGCTATATAACTCTCAGTTGACATCAAGCTATGCAAGTTGTACCCCTTACGATCTTTCAGTGATGCTGTTTTTTATTTAATTTGAACCTTAAACACTATTTTTCTTTTCTAAAAGGTCTAAATATTTTTCAATTATTGTTTAGTCCACTTTTTCTAGAACTTGAACAATGTTTTTCTTGAATTTAAACAACTTAAACTGACTCCTTTCAATATATACTTTATTTTTCTAAATGCTCATATATGTATTTCCCATAAAGCTATAATCTGTTTAATGAAGCCAAGTTTAGTCAACACATGAGCTTATTCTGTTGTAATTATTGTTGTTTTTAATGTCTTCGTACGTATGTACAAAGTGTTGGAATACTTCAAGCTACCCACCAAAGTGTCCCAAATATTACCTTTTCCAAAAGAAAAACTTTTAGAGTTGTGGTCTAAAAGAATGGATGGAGCATTTCTTCTTTCTATCTACATATGCGAAAAGTGAAAATATTATTATTTCAATTGAATCTCATGTTAAAACGGATGCTGGAAGACACCTTAGCGTAGAAGTACTTACCTACTTCTCACTGAAAGTCTTCTAAAATAATGCCGTGATCAACACTTCCCAATGATAAACTTTTTTATTAATCATCATCATGAAATTGTTTAACTTCTCCTATCTGGGTTAGGCAGTAATCTTTAGCTGCTGAAATAAGTTAACAATTTCTTTTATCTTTTATTTATTGACCTATAAACCAACTGATATTTTATATTATAGCAATAAAATGATAATGAAAGAACTACCTTAGTATAAGACAGACGCACGTTGAGTGAGAGAGTGTGGTGTTTTATAGCTCCGAATTTTTGTGGATTACTGGAGTTCAAAAAAGTGTGATTAATGTATGGTTGATTATCTAACTAGAGCCACATTGGTTCTGCAAGCAGGTAATATTTTCTTCTTGTGGCCACAAAGTGTAAGAAACATATTTGGTTGTACATAACTGTACGATTGGTACTGAACATTCAACAGCAGTGATAATACAGTTATCAGTTTTTTCGTAGCTGCAGTTGTACTTATCACATCGTACTTTTTGTTCTTTTTTAATTCGGCAATTCCTTTTGTCATTCTACATACACCCTACCGAGGTCTTCCCTGTCTGTGTCAGAAGTAAGTCATCTTGATCGACCTCAAGGTGTGAAGTTGAGTGTCTTCGTTATTTCTGTCCCCTGCCGATTTATGCAACAATAATGAACAACTGTGCGAATTGTACTGGTCCTATTAAAGAAAATACTAACTATATTAACTGTGATGCCTGTCAAAGATTTTTGCATATGAACTATGTAGGACTTAATGAACATGACGTTAAATTGACTCGTGCTAAATCCAAAGTTGTAAAAGTTGTTTGTAATTCTTGTCACACTAATATACGTCAACTCAAAGATCTTAAAACTCCAATAACCGCGTTTCCAGAGCAAATAACTGCTAATATTAATAAAATCAAAGACGATAGTCAAACTCCAATCAGTCAACTGAAATCCAGCTTGCCGACTGTTCAACCCAAAGATGTGCAATTTGAAGATGTTATTCAGGAATTCACTGAACGGCAAAAGAGAAAAGTTAATTTAATAATTTTCGGTGTTGATGAAGAATGTCAAGACTATATCAGTGACAGCGACCCTAAGGAGCAATTAATCGTTAGACTGTTTGAGAATGATAAGTCTTCCCTTAATAATATACTTTCCACAATTGATCTCAATTATAATAATGTAGATTTAAATATCCAGCACCTTGGTCGATTTGTGAAGGGCAGTCTTCGGCCCAGGTCTGTAAGAGTTACACTAAATAGCGAGTTAGACGTACTAAACTTGTTACGTAATGCTAAAGTCCTAAAAACAACGTGTGTTACAAAAATGTATCTCTCTCTTTGGACGACACACCTCGACAAATATCTTACTACAAACAACTTTTAACGAGGAGCTAGCTGCCCGTACAAAAAACGGGGAAGGTAACCTAAATACCGTGTATATCGGAACGAAATAGAACTAATGGAAGATTTACAGTTTCCTTGATTAAAAAGAGTCCGTTTTGACGACGACAGTTTGCACTACAAGACTACTACAGGATAATATAATGCTAATTTTACGATCATATTAAAATATTACCGTCGCAAGTTTTTCCTTTTTGTCAAAATTATAACTCCTTTATTACAAATTTGTTCTGTTCAATGCAGAAAACATGACATTTTATAAGTAATGGATGATTGTAATGTTTTAATTTTCAAAGATAGTTTATTTCCGGCCACGATTGGGAATTATAGATGCGAGTTATTTTTTCAGGGCTTTTCAATTATTTTATTTAGTTTGTTTAATGGTGCTAGCTATAAGACTAATGGTGCTAGTTGGTGCTAGTTGGTGCTAGCTCTAAACTATTATGTATTAAATTGTTGTTTTATACATTAATAAGATCTAAGTTAGAATATTGTAGTACTATATGGTCCCCCTATCACCAGGTTTATATTACTATGTTAGAAAATGTATTGCGGAAATTTTGCAAATATTTGCACTTAAAAATATTTCATTTGTATCCCTCTTTTTATTGTGAAACTAATATTTTATGCAGTGCAGTTAATGAAGACCAACTATGGACCCGTAGAAAAGTTGCATCTCTAATTTTTTTACAAAAACTTATTCATGGCCAAATAAACTGCCCAGTGCTTTTAGATTTGTTACATTTTGTCTGCCCAAGAACAAATAATCGAACATCAATAACTTTTTATTTTGATATTTCGTGAACACAACATCATTTCAACAGTCCACTAATAACTACTCTTACGCTTTATAATATCAGTGTAGGAAAAGTTTTAGACATATTTTATGATAACTTCTGTAAAGTTAACATAAGAAAAAAATTATTTGCGATTTTGTATAATGACCTCACGCTTAATTAGAGCGTTGTGTACCACCCTGTTGTATTTTTTATTTTTTTGTTGTATATACGTCATATCATTTATTACTTATTAGTTACATGTTATTATAGCGAATTCTAATTTGTACTTACGTTCCGCTATAGACTGTAAGTCTGGAAGGAAATATATATTAAGACCCACCACTGACCCGGAAATGACCGGCATTCAGGCAAGACTTCTATCATTACGGGTACTAAGACCAAGTAATGATATGCATTGATTAGATTAACAGAACAACTTTCGAGATTCTAGAATTACAGCATACAAATTAGTCTGCTATTATTCTCTAATCTCACCCCATCCCCAAAAGTCTAGCGTAACTACCGACCATTTATCCGTGCATCACTTGGAAAGTGACCTACGCTACTCTGACCTACTGGTGCTAATCTAATCTGACTGACATGATCAGACTGTTCAAGAAACAATATGACATGTTCCTAACAAAACAGCTTTTTGAGTTTTGACAATTATTGAATCATTCAAATGCAAAGACTTTAAATTCTCAACTAAGCTATTTGGAACTACACCTACATTAGAGATAACTAGGGGTAGAATTGAAATTTTTTTAAGATTTAACATGGATTTCATTTCTATCGATAATTGTAGATATTTTGAAATTTTGGTGTGGTATGTTTGAATAATGTTGTTTGTGTTAGAAATAGCAATGTCAATGAGAATTGCTTCGTTCGTGTGTTTTTTAATAAGTATGATGTCTAGTCTGTTAGCTGTAATGTTTAAGTCTGTAAGTATTGTGCGATCCCAGTATAATTTGTATTTGTTATTTTCAAGGAACGGAGATGGAATGTAAGTGTAATAGGGTGTCGTATCGTCGATTAAGTTCATAAGTGTTGCTAATTCTTTGTGGATGATTTTGGCGACCTTGTCGTGTCTAGCTTTGTAGTCAGTTTGTGCTAGGATGCTGCAGGAAGAGATTATGTGCTGGATCGTTTCAGGTTTTGCTTTGCAGAGGCGACAGCAGTCGTTTCTTATGTTCGGATCTTTGATGATGTATTTTTTGTAATTCTTGGTATTAATTACTTGGTCTTGAATAGCAAACACAAATCCTTCTGTTTCGGCATACAAACCTGATTTTTTTAACCAAATCAATGACATCTTCTTATTGACATGAGTTTCTTCTAAGTCTTTGTGGAATTTTCCATGAAGTTGTTTTTGTTTTAGCCCACTTATTATTTTATCTATTGTGTGGGGGTGTGGATTTCTTCGGTGTTCGACAGATTTAAGGGTGTGTGGTTCAAATCTGCTCTTGTGATGGTGCGAAACATTTCATTTCTTTCCGCTCGTTTAAAGAAATACTTCTTCAAATCTGAGATTTGTCTCTGACATAAGTTTTCTAGGTTCTGGAAACCCCTTCCTCCATTCTGTCTTGGTAATGGGAATCTTTCAATCGACGATTTTGGATGATGCCTTCTATACTGTGTGAAGATTTTCCTTGTTGCGATGTTTAAATTTTCAAGATCAGTTTTGGACCATTTAATGACTCCAAAAGAATATGTTAGCAGTGGAACGCAGAATGTATTTACTGCTTTCATTAAATTTTTTCCATTTAACTGTGTCTTCAATATTAATTTTAATCTCGCTAGGTATTGATCTTTCAACTGTGTTTTCGTTTTGGTATGATTGATGTGGGATGATTGACAGAAACCCAGATATTTGTATGTATCGTTTCGTTCTTGGGCTTCGATTATTTCGTTATTCTGGGTTATATGTGGTACTTGGTGTTGGACGCCTTTTTTGATTGCTTGGGTCTTGCATTTCTCAATACCAAAAGACATACCAATATCACCGGAAAATTGTTCAGTCAGATTTAATAGATTTGTTAACTGATTTTGTGTACTTGCATATATTTTTATGTCATCCATATACAGCAAGTGACTTATTCTGTTTTCTCTTTGTTTGTTAATTCTTATATTGAACCCATAATTGCAGCTGTTCAGGATATCGGAGAGGGGATTTATTGCTAAGCAGAACCATAACGGACTAAGAGAGTCGCCTTGAAAAATTCCTCTTCCGATCATTATTGGATCTGACTGAATTGTTTATTTATTCTTCTTATTATTATTAGGTGGTAACTTTTCATTGTCTTTAAATTATATTGGGGGGCTAGCGTTAACTTCCCAACGCCTGAGTCCAATGTATTAAGGAATTCACCAGTAGGTATAAAATTTATGCCGGAATGCCAACAGTATACATATTATATATTTTTTGAGAAAATTTAGTTAATTAGGATAATATTTTGAGTAGACAATTAGATATATTATATTTATATTGAACTTGTTTTTGTTCTAATGTTTATATTGTTTTATTACATATAGTGTGAAGAATGTACTTAATTTAAGATTTTATTTTGTTCTATTATAGGGGTTTCTCCTGTTGGGCAATAAAGGAATAATCCTTTATAATAATAATAATAATAATATTAATTATATTAATCTAATCAATGCATATCATTACTTGGTCTTAGTACCCGTAATGATAGAAGTCTTGCCTGAATGCCGGTCATTTCCGGGTCAGTGGTGGGTCTTAAATATTATAAGAGTTTTCCTCAGTTCGTCTTTGTTCTGCTTGAAAATAATCAACCTTTCAAGTTATATATAAAAAATGTCTTGACAAAATTCAGTACAATTTTCTACAAATGTAAGGTTCTGTTCTGTAAAATCTATGTTTATGTTTAAAAGAACGAGTAATGGCCATATTTAAAAGATTGTTCTGTTAGTTTCTCGGACAGTTTAATCATGTTGGTCACGGTACATTAGCACAAAACAGATGAGAGAGGTGTAAAGTGGATAAATGATCAATAGTCACACTAAGCTCATGGGGGGTGAGGCCATATTAAAGGATAATAACAGACGAATCTCTATGCTGCAATTCTAAAATTTCGAAAGTCGTTTTTTGTCGAAAGTCGTCAACGTATATCAATATTTGCCTGAATTCCGGTCATTTTCAGGTCATAACTGGGGTTATAATAAAATTAAGAAAGTTTATAACAATGAGTTTGGTACAAAATGTTTAAAATTCAAAGGTAGGTACAGTTAAGTGCTCAATTGAAATAACGACTAAATTCTTGCAAATTAAAACGGGCAGCCTCCCCTGACTGACATGAGTTACAATAATAATTTTATTTGTCAAAATTTGATCAAACCTTTTCAATAGTTGTAACGAAGATGAGGGTTAATTTGAATAAACATGACAAAATAGTCGTGATAACGGTAAGAGACGAAGGATGGCTATATCAGAAAATCGCCAATCTTTCAAGTTTTTACAAGTCAGTTTTAGGCAGTAAAAAACTTGCATTAACCGCACAAATACATATAATAAAATCCCTTTAAATTTGATTTCGTGTAACAAATTAAATTTGATGTTATTCTCATAGAAAAATTTAACAAGAGAAGATATAAATGAATGGTGCCAACTTTTTAATAATAATAATAATAGCCATGACGATATACAACGCTCTAGGCCCGTGCCATTATTACACATCTTAGCAGGCGAAGGGGGTACACCGGCCTAAGAGTTTAATGGCTTTATAGTGATTCTACTCATATTCAGATGGCGATGAAGTTGGTAAGTCAGAAATGGCATAACACAATTTGTGTGTGTCTCAGCTAGTCTCTTAGGCCCGAATATTCTCTAGCCCCGTGGAACGTTTATGTGTTATCCTGACTGTGTTGAAAAATTTACCAGGATGTCTACTTGGACATTGACAACTCCACCATCATATTATAATTAACATTTATACAAAATATTGTAAACATGAAAGCTTGAATAAATCTATTTGATTTAAAATTCGGAAATTGATATGTTTTCATGTAATTAAACGAAAAATTGAGCAAGGTTGGTTGCATACTACATTCGCAATGATTTGCAACACTTACAACAGAACACAGCGGCTTTACAATTAAGCTTTCATCTTGAGAACAGCAATGCAAATCTTAAGTTTTATATTTTCGTTTATTTAGTCTCGAATTCAACGGTTTTGCAATTCTGCATTCCTGTTTGCAGAAAGCAATTACTTGCACGTTTGTGTTTACTCTCGAGTTAAAAATACGAGCTGTGAATTTAAGACATTTTTTATTATATTATAAAATTTAATACAATATTAACATGTAAAGTCAGTGTTTAAAATTACAAAAATATCAAAAATTATCACAACTTGTAAACAAAACAAAAAAAAAAACAAAAGAGACAGCTGATCCACTAGTTTCATCTTCGCTTAGTTCTCTGATACTGGATCCAGTTGTACACGTCTCGACCACTGCGATCAGAGAAGAGCTGGTTCGTTTCAACAAATTCTGCACACAGCTTCGGTGGTGCCAAATGACCCCTGGATATGTATTGCGAAAAATGTCTCTGCATTAAAGACATTTGCTCTGAGGTGAATGGTTTCTTTCCTCTTCTCTTTACAGGAGTTATTTGCAATTTCTGCTTTATCTCCGCGATTGTCGTTTTTCTTGGTGATTTCTGCGATTTTGGTGACTTCGTGTTCAAAGTTCCCCTGTGACTCGATATTTTTTTCTTTGGTGTTTCAATCCTCCGGTCTTCAGTACTGGCTCTCGCTATAAAAAATATCAGCAATGATATACAATTTTCTAGACTTTTCAGCATACGTACCCCCTACTTTTTCAGAAAGCGCTTCTTGTGTAGTATGTGTAACTTTGTCACACTTTCGACGATCCGAAGGCACTTCAGTAATATTGTCTGTAGTATAACATTCTATCACACCTGATTGTGAGACTTGAGTGTCTGTTGATACCTCCTGCATGAGGTTCGTTTCCATTCTGTTGATTGTACTTTCTGTTGAACAGGTAGTTTCAAACGAATCCAACTGAGATTGTCTCCTAATAATTCTTCAGAGGTAATATGATCGTCTAACGCCGGATCCTCTTCAGGTACTGGTAAATCTTGTGCAATAGTGAGTATTTCGTCGAGACTTTTACCTCTGTATGAAAAGAGTTCTTCTCCATCTACGATAGTCAAAAATTTTGCCCACCCTGTTAGTTGAAATAAAAGTTCGTCTTGTCGATATACTTGTTCATGGACTTTCTGACTATGACCCATCAATTTTGCAATCTGACCGATTTCATTGTCATTCATTGTTAACAATTGGGAAAGGGTTGCGACTTGTTTTCTTAAATAAGTGGAACGTAAAAGATGCGGTTCTTCAGCACCACATTTCTCTGAGTAATCTCTTAAAACAACTGAAGCATCGATAAACATCGCTCTCGTAGGTATACCAAAAAGGTAATTGTTTGAATAGGGAACACCAGCTTCTTTTCGATATTGGAGAAACATATCTAGATACCTACAACACAATCAAAAATCTTTTAAAAAGTAGAAAAATCAAAGTACTCATTTACCTGCATTGATTTTCGTCCAACAGCACATGTAATATATGTAGACGCTTTCCAATCAAAGTCATAACTTTGTATTTATTCGCTAACTCCCGTTGATACATTGGAAGGGATTGAAGTATTTCATCATCAAGTTCGATTTTTTTGTTATACAATTCCAACGACATACTTGCAACTTCACTGACTCTACGTCTATTGTACACAATAACTCTTGCCAACGCAGCCTTTCCTAATTTTAGCCATGTGTCGAAATCGAAACCGTCCTGTAACCGTTGATACGCCTGCTCCGCTTCAGAAACTATCAATGTGGAAAATAATTTAACGTCCTTTGCCTTTGGTAAATTATGTAATTTGGCTGCTTTTCTTTGCAAGCTGGTTCGACCAGCTGACCTGCCAACATAGATTCCATAGTTTTTATCATGGAGAGTTTTGAAATTGTCGAAACGGCCACGCTCTTCACATTGTGTGGGAAGATTATGAGTTAAATAATCAACGTTAAGTGCGTCTAAAAGAAATGTAATACTCGATCGTAAAGCTTTTGCCAGACTTGGCTTTCCAAACTCGCCTGTTTCCTTGTCAAGTGAACACAAATTGAAAACTCCCTCTAGTAAGGCATCATAACCTCCATAGAGTATCAGATCTTCAAAATCCAGAATGGAGGGGTTTATGTCTTTAACATCTAAAATCAATCGTGCCATTCTACCAAATGTTGGCGATCGTTCTTTAATGCGCTGTATGAACCACGATGCATTAAGGAATATCTTTCAGCAACAAGTTTCAAACATTTATCTTCTAATATCTCGTGTAGAATTAGCCCAACTTGAACAGGCTCTAAGAAAGCGAGAAAAAGTTTCTGACTGAAAGAATTCGCTGTAAATTCCTTCTGGATAATCTTAAAGCGAGCTTCTTTAAGCACATTTCTTCTATTTGGTGGCCGTCCAGTACATTTGCGTTCATGTCGAGCAAAGTTTCTGGTCATTATTTCACCAAAACAATTTGGGCAAGTAATTAAATTGGAGGCTTGTCCTGTCACTACTCTCCTTATAGCAATTTTTTCCTCACAGGTGGCATTTTTGTTAAAATTATAATCACCCTTTCACCTGATCTCTCGTAACGCAGCATTCCGTTCCACACTATTAGCTTTCATAGTCATAATATTTTTCACTTCTTCCTGATCTTTGTGTTTTCGAAGAATATGTGAAGACATTTCAACAAAAAACTGTTCACAGAAATAACAACAATGGCGTTTTCCTTTGGTTTTTGACGTTAATGGGTTTACTAGGGCAGAAGAACCACAATCCATAATTAACGGTGTTATGAACTTACGTTCCTCTTCAATCGGCAGTTCCTCCCCTATTAATTTTCCGACGGGGAGACAGTAACGAACTTTCACTTGGATTTCACGTTCGCCAAAATTTCTAGACAGCAGCACAAGTGTTCTGTTTTTGTCGGAAAGTTTATTACCTACAACAAAAATTAAACTTCGATTTGCATTTTTTTGTTACTATACATACATTTATGGTCTGTCGCGGGCAAACCAGAATACAAAAATCCGCTGATGGTATTGTCATCTCCACTGCAAGCATCACAAACGTAATGCCCTTCATGTAAAACGGTGTGTATCTTCATTGAAACGAAACATTTCTTTATATAAATGGTCAAATGAGCGGAAATCCTGCAGTTTGATTCTTCAACAGGCGAAACCAATGGCGTAAACATCAAGTCAAAGTCTTCATTGCGGTTCGAGGTAGTGGGCATTGAAGAACTACTTGAACTTTGTCCTTCTATAAATATTTGAAAAATTATTAGAACATTATAAACGACTAATATTAGGTATAACGTAAGTTGTAAAAATCTCTACAGATGAGAGTAACTTACTTTTCAAATGGCATTGCATACATTATTTATTGGGTTGTTCCAGAGAATTATACAGGGTTAGTATAAAGTCCCGAAACGTTTGAATAACTTTGTTATTTGAAAAGTTTTTTTTTCTGAAATTTGCTTTGGATGTATAATTAAACATGGCAACTTTAATGGAACACCCAGATGTTGTTTCACTAGAAATAAACAAGTTGATAATTTCTGAAATTAGTTTTTTATTCTGCATCAGAAAATGCCAAAAAAACCTGTATGTTGTAATCAATGCAATCAATGTTGTAGGTATATATCCAAAAAAAATTTCAGCAAAAAACTTTTCAAATAAAGTTATTCGCCCGTTCCGGGACTTTATACTAACCCTGTATATTAAAATATACTACATTTAGGTATCAGGCATAGCTAGAAAAAATTTTTCTAGTTATTTAAAAAAAAAAGTTTTGGTATGCCAAAAGTCTTATTTGCAACTTACATAACACCCGATTGGTGGTTTGGAGTTTAACATTTGAGTTAAGAAAAGATTTTTCAGATGGACGAATAAAAATATGTGATGGATGTGTGTAAGTTGTTTGTTTTCAAAAATGTGTAATATTGGTTTATGTTTATGCACGAAAGTATATTGGAAATAGCATATGTATAATGTATAGGTAATTAGTGTTACATGTATTATGTAAGTTACGTTTATTATGTTAAGTTAGGTACTAATCATTTTTATAGCATCTTTGGAAATGTTAGCAAGAAAGCTAACGAAAAAAAATTGACATTTTAATAAAATTGATCAGAATCCGAGAAAATAGAAACCTGAGTTTAAGACAAGAGTAAAAAAATCTAAGTCGGCCATTAAAAAGACGTTTTGGATTTTTTTTACAAAAAGCCTGAATATTTCGTAATTATAATTACTTAATGAAATACCTACCTCCTTCAAACAATCTTTTCTTGCAAGTCTGTAACTGAGACTTCGTGTGCTCAGATGTTTCGCCATTTTCATCGCTTTCTTCTGACACTTCAGAAGTTGGCTCATATTCTTCGTCGGTAGCATTACTTTGGAAAGGTTCTTCGTCGCTGTCACTTATCTCGTATCGGCTGCAGGGTACGTATTCAAAAACGATCTCTTCTATTGGTCGCACCAAATCAACTTGCCAACATTCTGTGTCCTCTAAATGTTGTTTTGCCAATTTCAAAACATTCAGATCTATAGAAGAAGATTGACATGAAATAGATTGATTATAAAGAGTAGAAATGAGTTACCTGAACTACTCATTATAACATTGTCCAGCATCCTTTTTTTGAGTGTTTTATGCCATATTTGAAAGATTTTAGGAGTTCCCTCTGAATATGTCAGGTGATGGGTAAGACGTTTTTTTTTTCTGAAAAATAAGTGATGAACTCGTTAAGACCATAACACAAACACTGGTTCTAAAATTTCTTGGGCGAAACGAAAAAGAAAAAATGCGAAAACATGACAATTTTTTGCTTTGAGCCAGATACACCTTGCCACATATTGGTGTATCGAACTTTTGAAATATCGTGTTTTAATTTTTTTGTTTTGAAGCAAGAAAACAAAATTC